TTATTTCCCTACCTTTCCCTCCAAGAGGACCCAAGTCATCTTATAGTATTCAAAACAAACAATATAAAACTGGAAAGGGAGGAGGAAAAAAAAAGCAAAAAATAAAACAGCAGCAGCCCATATCTTAGGCAGCCAGTCCTTGATAAAGTATTGGTTTCTTACCATTTCTGTGGGAAGGCAGAAGGTCAGTTGGATGGGGAATGGAGATGCACCAATAGAATTAAAGGGATATGCAGACAATGCTATAGCTGCCTTAATTCCTGCTGCGTTGGATGATAAGAAAGTGCACGTGTGTTCTTTGGGTTGCTCCTGATGATAGTCCTCACTCTAAGGCATGACTGAATGAGTAAGATCTCTTTATTGATCAAGTAGGCACTTTCCTATTTCAGCTTTCAATAGGAGGCATCAGTGAGGCACATGACATGTATTTCTAGGGTGTCTACATATAAAAGGGACATCTATTTGTGTGATAGACATTTTGGAACATCTGTTGCTTTTCATGTCCTGTTGTGTGCTGTTTAGCCCTATTGGTATCTAACAATTTAAATAGGATTACAGTACCTAAATTCCTGCGGATGGAAGTTGGCAACTGTCTCTGCAAAAAAATGTTTCCATTTTCTTCTCTAACATAGAATGTCTTGGAAAAAGTAATGGTATTAGAAGGAAGATTGTGCCTTCGTCTGTTAAAGCCTTTAAAATACTGCAGAAAATGTATAGTGTATTAGGTTTCACTACTACAGTACTCTCATCCTTGAGTCTATTGATGATGGGACATGGGTAACCTTGCTGACATCTGGATATAGTACCAACAAACAAATTTATATAAGCATTACTGAGAATCCTCTAGCTAGTTTTAAAAGTTATTTTATTTATTTATTTTTTTCCTCTAGCTAGTTTTAAAAGTTATTTTATTTTATTTTGCCCATTTATATCCCACCTATCTGGTCTTGCGACCACTCTAGGCAGCTTCCAAATACAGTACTTAAATAAAAAACACAAATATACACAAAAATTGTGTAAGTTAGGGCAGATATCAAAGAAATAAAATAACTATAGTATATGCATATCGACCAGATAAAGAATTAGAAGGAATGCAAAAGAGTTTACTGAATAAGTCAGTTTTCTCCTTTTTTTTTTTTTTAAAAAGAAAGTATTCTATCTTCTAGTCCATAGAAATACAGAGAGAAAAACTGAAAATACTATAAAACCATTCTTTGAAATACACATCCAAATGAGTATAGCTTTGCCTTTGTCTTGGGATGAAGGAGCTGAATCTTGGTTTTTCACATCTGTCTGTGTACGGTTTGCCGTTTCTAACCATTAAACGGTCTGCCCTGTTAAATGCTACAGTCCTTTAGGGATTATTTGAAAGCACTGTATGTTTCAGGGTGTTCAGTGTCTCAGTGTTTTGAAACAGAACAAGCTGCTATTGTTATAAGAGTTTCCTAATATCAATAATATGGATGTGTAAGCAGTATGTGGCTTGTTTTGCTCTTGTTTTCTTTATAGTTTATGTTATTTATTAGTATTATCTAATACTTCAAAGCTAGTGGTTGTTTTTTTAAAGGAACCTATTTCAAATGTAAAGAAAAAAAATCCTCCCAATATCCACCAATTGTTCTTTGCTTTTATCAGAGTTGGAATGAGAGAATTACCTTTTAATTAGATGAATGAGAAGGCAGGTATTGGGATAAAACTGAAGACATCCTTTCAGTATATATGGGTAATACATCTAATTTCTCACTCTTGTGTTTTCAGCTGCTGAAGATCGACACCTACAAGGGAGCAGCTCAAATACAGATAGAAATTTTTCCACTTCTCCTGTGGAAAGTACATATATTGTAGGACTTCCTGACAGAAGTGGAGAGAGGACATTGCGAACATTGCAAACTCTAAGAGACATCAGCAGTTCTTACAACCCAACACAAATATCTACATTCTCTAGACACATTATTTCAAACTCTGATTCTCCTTATATAGAACAGACCGGACAAATGGATTTGTCGCCAGGGAACACTGATCTTGCTGGAGCAATGGCCTCACAGTCTCAGGCTCCCTCAGAAAGTATAGGTAAAGAATGACGATCTCATGATTTTTTTTCAAATCCCAGTTTCATCTGTGCAATATGAAGGTTTAAACCAAAATATCAGGAGTGCATTTTTAAAAGAAAAGAAAAAAAGCTGATGGATCATAGCTGGAATTATAACAACTGTAGCATTTATTTAAGAAGAATTAGATGTCATTTTTGGCTTCTTTGTTTTAATGTGGAAAACTAAGCCACTTTTTGGTGATATTTTATTTCAGTTTTAGAGAATTCCAATGGTAAGCATTGTCCTGATGCCAAATGATGTCCAATTGGTCAATTTCAGTACCTTTTGATTAAAGTAAAAAAAATGGTTGGGGAAAGTAGTACTTCCTAATCATAAAATTTTGATCTGACCATTTACTTTTTTTTTAAATTATGAAATTAATATTTTGCATTCAATCTGTATGGGCAAAACCCAGAAAAATATGCTTTGTGGTGGTTCATGGTTCATGAAATTTCTGAACTAGAGAGCCTGGTGGCACAGTGGTTAAACCGCTGTACTGCAGCCAAAAATGTGCTCATGAGCCAGGGTTCAATCCCAGGTAGCTGGCTCAAGGTTGACTCAATCTTCTATCCTTCTGAGGTCAGTAAAATGAGTACCCAGCTTGGAACATTAGTTCCAACTCATCTCCCTGATCAACTGGGACCCGAGCGCATGCACAGAGACAGCAGTCCCAGCTCCTGGAAGGGAAGCCAGGCTGGTGTCTCTGAAGATGGCAGCTGCAGTGGAGAATGAGGAAGAGGTGGCAGCACAAAGTGGGGAGGCAATGAGAGCTGTGGGAAGGTGGTGGGGCCAGGCTGTGGGGCAGGGGGCCAAACGAACCAAGAATTTTGTTAAATCCCTTTAAAAGTTCATTGGTTCAGTTTTTTGGGGTTTGTTGGTGTTGATGAACTTGAACTCAACTAATGAACCAGCAATTTTTTAACCAACTTCCTCGTTCATCTTTTGGTTCGTGCTCATTTCTGTGTATGAGTATCATTATTTACAGAACACTCTTCAATAATTCAGATTTTTTCCCTTGTGTTTCAGCTGTGGAAGAGAGCGATCAGCCAGGGAGCAGCCTGCATAGAGACAGAAGCGTGTTGTCTTCTCATACTGATAGTGGCTCTGTTCTTGGTGTATCTGACAGAGATGGAGAAAGGACATTGCCAACTCTGAGAGACAATGCAACAGAAATGTCTACGGACGTTAAACCAAAATCTTCCAGTACTGTAGGCCTTACTCAGTTTTCTTCCATGTTGACTCCAGTACAGACCACACAAATGGATGTGTCAGCCAGAGACAGTGTTATCACTGAGGCAGCGGTTTTACGTTCTCAGACACCTTCAAAAAGAACAGGTAAAGTGTGAAGAGCTCCTTGGGTTGTTTTTGTTCTCCCTCCAGATTTCAGGGTGCAGTTATGCTTGTCTGTGTATAATCCATAAGGTTAGGACACGATGTATAAAAAGAAGAGGGAAAGCAAGCAGACAGACATTTCTAAGTCTTTGAGGGATAAAGCTGACTAAACGTGTGAGACTTTGATAACAACAGTGAAAAGTTTCTCTTTAAAGAAGAACGGTGTCTTCATTTTTGTCATAGTTCAGAAAATTATCTGTTATGTTCCTTTTTCTTTAAAGAAAATAGCATACATTCAGTCTCTTTGATTAGATTTAAAAGGTCAGATTTAAGAAAGGCAGAGACTGTTAAGGAAATAATGCATCGAACGGAGACTTTGTGCCACTCGAATCATTTCCACTAGCACAGAGAGGAGCATACACAGTTTGTTTAGTAAGTGATGGATTATAATCTGTGGTGACTTTGTTCTGGCAAAAGACTTTTTTACGGCATGCGACTTTCACTCAGTTTTTGCTGATTTTGAAGCCTGCCTGCTCATATCCTACATTGTTTTGGAGCCCTCCACATACACAGCTTTCTCAATAACACCTCGTCTGGCACTAGAAGAGGTTGCAGGCCTATTCCAGTCTGCAGGGCTTCTCAATCCATCCCACATTGCTGTACCCCATGGTTATACCTTTTTCTCCATTTTATCTTTGATCTAATCCTACACCTCAAGGAGTTGCACTAAACTGGGAATGGTGAGCAGCCAGCAAAACTGGCTCCTGGCAGGTCCTGGATGAATCCACACCAGTATCTTTGGGGCTCTTGTTATTCCTGATCAGGAAAACTGAGATGCAGACTAAACCCATTCTGTGTTGTGTGTGTGTGTATGACAATTGGTGGCCACCTTTTCCAGCTGTAAAGTCACTTTAATGTCATACAGATGTTGAGGAGAAAACAAAAGCACTCCAAAATACATGGAAGGCAGAAACATGAGCAGCTGCTTCTTTGATGACCACGGCAACATGACTAAGTGCTCCATGATCTTGAGATGGATGCATGGAGGCATTTCATGTCTATCAAAAGAATATGCCTCCATGGTGTCACGTGCAAAATGCAACCCATCAGACACAGTGAGACCGAACTCAAGATGCAAGTAAAGTAAGGCTAGGGATATCTCACCCTGAAATATTGGAGTAAAGGGCCATGAGTTGTCTCTAACTAGAAAGCCTTCTGAAGCAGCAGTTACTGTAGTATGAGCAGTGAGAAGATGCATAGTAAGGTCTAGGTATCTCCCCACCCCAAGGATCTTCACTTCTCACACAATAAATAATAAATAATATTTTTAATGCAAGTAACACATCTTATTTTTTACTGTTGTATTTAAGCTGTAGAAGACAGTGGTCTACTGAGGAGGAGCTTGAATACAAGGACAAGTGTTCCCAGTTCTCACAGGAGGAAGGTGTCTACTGTAGGTTTATCCAACATAAGTGAAGAGATATTACTAGCTCTGGAAGACACCAGTGGTTTTTACAATGCCACGCAAATATCCACAATCTCCAGTAATAAACCTTCTAGCAACTTGGGCCTCACTGATTCTTCTTATGTATCAACTCCAGTACAGACCAGAAAAATGGATTTGTCCCCAGGGGACTCTGATGTCAGAAATATTACTCCCTCAGAAATAACAGGTAAAGGGCAAACTCTTCATTGGATCTGGACTGTGTGGGGTAAATGTTAAGACCAGAATATTAGAACTGAATGTAGAAAAGAAGAAAAAGATAGGAGATAATAGCTGGAACTATAGCTGTAAACTCATGGCTCTTCAGTTGTTGTTGCATTATAACTTATCTGAAGTACTACATATTCCCAACTATTGCACTATATTGAAGGGGAAATTAACTTAGCACTGTACGTGAATGTAATGGTGGTTAAAAAAATATGAGATGTCTTTCTGTTTATGTGCATGGTACATTTAATTTCTCACTGCCACTTTTCAGCTGTGGAAGATAGTGGTCTCCTGAAGTGGAACTCAAACAAGGAGGATGTTGTTTCCAGTTCAGAAGCAGAGAGTATATCTGTTCCAGGTGTATCTGGCAGAGTTGGAGAGAGGACATTGAGAACTCTAAGAGATGTCAGTAGTTCTCTTAATAAAGCAGAGAGAGCCACAACTTCTAGCAATGAAGTCTTCAGTTCTTTGGGTCCCACTGATTCTTCTTCTGTCTTGACTCCAGTAGAGGTTGGACAAATTGATTTGTCACCAGAGAACACTGATATTACTCCCTTGGAATCAACAGGTAAAGAACAACAGCATCTTTCTTTGTTTTCGGTTTGGGACCATGGCTTCATGTGTGGTGTAAGGATTAAAACCAGACTATTAGGAATAAATATATAAAAACGAAGAGAAATATACAAATGGACAAAAGCTGGAACAATAAACTGCTATGGTATTGAAGATAAAGTTGACTAAAAGTCTCGAGAGACTATGGTAACATGCTCTGAATCGAGGAGTGTCCTCTCCAGAGCATGAAGCCCGGGTAAGGTAATATGGAGGATAGGCTGTTACCCAAGCAGCAAATCCCCCCTCTCCACATTGCTGAAATGGTCCAATGGAAAGGCAAGAGCCAATACGACTGGTTCCAGCAACGTCGCAGGAGTTGGCAGAACGACACGAGCTGCCTTCGGGACTCCAGCTCCGGATTTTGCCTCGAGGTTAACTCCTGAAGCCTTTTCCATCGGTGGATATAGCCACAGGGCAGTGGAGGTTTGAAATCAGAGTTTTCCTTCTCCGAGATGGGCTGCCTTCCATGGCTGACGAGCCCCACCTACCCAGCCTGCTCTTTAATAGTGCAAAAGTATGATCTGATCGTTAAAACTTTCCCTGACTCCCCGGCTTATGCAAATCTCATTGCCTTTCCTATTTGCCATATTAAGGCCAGATATAAAATGTGCTCAGGAGACAAAAAGAAAGCCCAGGAAAAAAAAACTCAGCAAGGCATCCATGCAAACAGACCTGGCCTTCGCCCTCAGCCCAGCTTCCTAGGGAAAAGGGTCCAGGGTCCTGGGACACGCTCTTTTACAGCAGGAAGTCCCACCCCTAGGCCCCACCCCCAGGCCAATGTAATACTTACATAACACACTTTAAGAATTGTTTCCCTTTTTATATCAGTGTTAACTGTGATAATATTTCTGCTTTTGAAGAATATTAGCAATAAAGATTTTAATCATATCTTAGTGAAATTTCCTATTTTAATCTCTTCTTGAGAGGATTAAAAAGAACTGAAGTGAGTAAATGGCAGAAACTTTTAAGAGAATAATATATTCAGTTATGCTTTCCACTGGAGGAGTCATTCCTACATGATGCAAGGAAGGGCACAACATATTTATTGAGAAGATGCTAGGTCAGTGATTCCCCAACCTTGGGCCTCCAGATGTTCTTGGACTACAACTCCCAGAAGCTTTCACCACCACCTCTGCTGGCCAGGATTTCTGGGAGTTGAAGTCCAAGAACATCTGGAGGCCCAAGGTTGAGGAACACTGTGCTAGGTTGGATACTATGGCGACTTTGTGCAAATGGGAAGTACTTCCACAATCAAGAGAGGCTTATGATTTAGACATAACTTTGCTATGCTAGGGTCACCCAGATCTCTCTTATGCAGGACTCTGATTGTGACCTGGTGAGTCCCAAAATGCAAGACTGCCATCCGCTATCATAGTCTTTTCTTCTCAAGCTATTTTGGATATGGAGCCATAAATTTTTCAGAAGATCAGCCAATGAGAGAGTGTCTGGCAAGGTTAGAGGTGAGGCTTTACTTGGTGGACTGGTCTTCACTCTAGTGAGCCAGGGAAGGATATGTTAAGCATATCGACTTCTCCCCAGCAGTCCTCTCTGTAACTTTGGCCACAGACTCTTACTTTATGTAGCCTGTCTTGCCCAGAAGCATTTTGTACGTTTGTTGGATGGGGGAAGAGAGAAGTAGCATTATGGGGCATTATGTTGTATTTGCAGTTCTGCTTTCCTGTTGTGGTTTCATTGGTTCACCTAAGGGAGCGTTTTTGCCCAGAGGGATGGAGAGGGAGATGTGCATTTGGCCCTATCTCAAGAAAGGGATCCTTTTCCCATGGGTATCAAGGAGTAGAGGACTAACAGAGCCACCTACATTCCCCCCACCCAGCAGATGCCAGTGGGTATTCCCTAGTGTTCTTGTGCTTAGGGATATATACCTGTCTCTAGTAGCCACTCTAAGACTACTTAGCCATAGTCTACGAAGGTGAGTATTGGTTGGCAGATGATCCACCAATGTACAGACCTGCTCCTTATGTTGTACCAGTATTGTTCTGTTGCATACAATGCAACTCTTGGCCTTTTATTATCCATCACCAGTTTATCCTTCAATGAACTTCTTATGCAGTTAAGAATGGTGTGTCTTCTCTTGATGGGCAGGGGAAGCATTCCAGGTCATTTCACCTGTGTCCACATTTGTACTCCCCAATTGATTCAGCCCTCCATGACAGATTTCTGACTCTTTTGGATCATCTCCCATTCCTCAGGATTGGCATTTCTGAGGGCACAGAGTGTTACAGTGGCTGGAGGCATAGTTCAGGCAAAATAAGGCAACTTCCCTCACATGTGTAGAAGCATTGTGTAATAGGACAAAGCTGTCCTTGAGATATCCCAATGGCTGGAAAGGTAAAACTTTGAGAATTAAAGAAAACATTCTAAATGAGAGGAGGGGAAGGTGGTGCTCCTTTCCCCCCCTAATATTGCAATATATTTAAAAGCTTATTAACAAAAGTTTATTAACTAGATGTTAGATTAGTAATTCAGAATCTCATTTGCTTGTACTTGAGCAAGTAGTCTTCTACAAGCATGATTATGTGTACAGTATAACAGATGCCAAAAGAGGTTAGAAGCACTTTTAATCAACATTGGTTTAGAATTAGAGTTTGCACCAGCTGTTAAATGAAAACAAAAATTAATAGTACTAATACTCCCATGCATGTACATTTTCTAATTATGATGGCCAGTATCCTATTGAGAGTAGAAGAGCAATTGGATAAAGTTTTCCCTCCCACTGCGGCAGGCCTCCTGTTGCAGCCTTGATCACATAATCTGTCACACAACTGATCTTGCAATCCGTGTGAGACTGTGCATCCAATGAGGAGTCTGCTGGAGTAGGAAGAGCATTTTCATGATTGTCCTGAAGAAATGATAGCTAGTGTGTTTGGACAACTTTTCCTGAGAATAAATATATCTTAAGAGGCAGAATAATTTGAGAATAATAGTTTATTGTCAGTATCAAGATACTGTTAAATATATTTTTCCATTGATTTTTATTCTACTTAAATCAGAGAGACAAACAAAAACAGAGTGAAAAATATCTATAAACTTTTCCTGGAATATGACTATGAAGAATATAAATACACTGGAGTATATTGGGCTAAGATATTGCTGAGAATATGGCTATGTATATTTTTAGAGCATTAGACATGCTTTTCATTAATTATACATGTTAGAGAGACTGTTTATAATTATTCTAATTAATTAATGCATTATTAATGTTATTAATATCCACATCGTTGAATTAAAATAAATAAAAACAGTCTAGCTTTCCAGAAAAGCTAGTGATGCCACAATATATTTTAAACAGAAATAAATGGTTAATCTTATAGCTCAGACCAGCTGATAAAATGTATGCTAATTATTGAACAAAACCAAAATCTTCAATTGTTGAGGGGCTGGCTTGATGAAATAAAGATGTACGCTTTTGTACATCTTTGGTAACAAGAAAAATATACAGGTTCATATTTCACCATGTTATGGCAGTGGCTGTAAATAAAAATGGATTTTAATTAATCTTTCCTTCCTGGAAACTGTTAACCTGAATTTTCAATTTTATTATCAGGCTTCAGCTCTCTTGCCTATTTAATATTTTCCATTATATATGTATGGATGTAATTATGGAAGAATAAAATGTGGATGTTCTTAGCACATACAGGTGACACAACTAATATTTTACTGTTTCATTTCAGCTTTAGAAGACATTAGTCAGCCAAGGAGCAGCTCAGACACACAGAGAGGGGTTTCACAATCTCCTATCGACAACACATCTGCTTTGGATCTCTCTGACAGGGGTGGAGAGAGGACATTACAAACGATAAGGGACATCAGCACTTCCCATATTGCAACACAAGTATCCATAATCTCTGGCAAAGAAATTTCCAGCTCTTCAGACCTCACTGACTTTTCTTCTATGTTGACTTCAGTACAGATGGGACAAACAGACTTGTCACCAGGGGACACAGAGGGAATGGTTACAGAGTCTCAACCAGCTTCAGAAACAACAGGTACAGGATGAAAGCTCCTTGTTTATTCAAAAATTGCTGCATACTACCAGTCTTGTAACGATGTGCTGGCCCATTAGTTAAATGCACATGGAGATGTTTCTTGCATCATACAGAATATGCCTCCATGTTGTCATTGCATATATGAATCACAGCCTTCCAAACACAAGCAGTGGTTCCCAACATTGGGCAACCCAGGTGCTCTTGGACTGCAGCTCCCAGAAACCCTGGCCAGCACAGCTAAGGGTGAAGGCTTCTGGGAGTTGCAGTCCAAGATTGGGAACCACTACTTTAAAGTATCCTGCATAGCAGCAGTCACTATCTGTAGCACAAATAGTAAGAAAACAGAGATTAATGGATAAACACAGCTGCCAACAGAGTTGCAGTTCCATTCTACCATTCATAAATAGAAATAAGTGCCTATTAAATTTTACTAACAGACAAAGCATTACAAGCTTTTCTCATTATAAGAAGGTTAATCTTCTTTGCCATTGTTTTCATCAGAATAGGGCTGGAAAACTCATGGCCCTCCAGATGCTGTTAGACTAAATGGCAAAATCAACTTGTTTTTCATTACTATAGGAACGTAATGAGGGCAAGAAAGTACAGTATGTGATACCCTTTCAGTGCAGGTGGGTAGCACATCATAATTTATCTTTGTTTTATTTCAGCTGTTGAAGACAGAGGTCTGCTGAGGTGGAGCTCAAACACAGAGCAAGGTGTTTCCAGTCCTGAATCAGAGAGTGCGCCTGTTCCAGATCTGTTTGACAAAGGTGAAGTTAGGACATTGCAAACTCTAAGAGACACCAGCCATTCTCATAATGCAACACAGAAAGCCACAGACTCCAGCCATGAAACCCTTCACTCTTTGGATCTCACAGATTCTTCTTCTCTGCTGACTCCAGTACAGACTGAACAAATGGACATGACAACAGGGGACATGAATTTCACACAAGCAACACTTAAACATTCTCAGACTCCATCAGAAATAACAGGTAATGGATGAAGTATTCCTTACCTGTCGCAGAGCACTATTTAACTTGAGAGGCATAAACCAAGTTTTCTGTGGGAAAGTGAGGATTGCTCTTGCCTCTAGAGAATGTTTACAAAGATCAGTGTCTATGCTAACAGCACATTATCATTAGAGATATTCTCCAAACAAAAACTGTTTGAATCTGTTTTGGCATCCCCTTCTTAGCCTCACTCATCACCCCTCTCCCAAGAGCTACATCTACCATGGGAATCAACACCACCATATTATGTTCCTTCTTCCTCAGCTGTATTGTTTTAATGTGGGCGAGACATGAATCAGAACTATCCTGCCACGAATTTCCACATCATTCCTGGAGAATGCCATTGACGAGGATTAGGGCAGGGAATGGAAACCCTTGATTGATAGGCCCACCTAATAGTGATGAATCGTGGGATTGGGAAATGTGGTGTGGGGAGGCTGTACTCTATGCTGAGCACATCCTTTAAATCACATAGAGTAAAAAATGTGTCATCCTTCCTTTCTACTAGTTCAGGGCCACCTTATAAATCTTTGCAGGAATATAGAGGTTACTATTGAATACTTCCTTGTGGTGGTTGCCTTATATAAGGGGAGAAACAGAGTTTGGGAAATTTACTTTTTGAGACTACATTTCCCAGAATCCCCCAGCCAACATGGCCACAGCGGTATGATCTAAAGATTGTAGGCTTTTTGCTTTTTTGTTGCTTCACTTTGCCCATAGTTGCCACAATTACAATGTCCTGAGAATTATAATCATTATTGAGTGATTTATGGGGGTGAGTTTTGCCTTCCTTGTAATTCTTTTATTACAATTTCTCCTGACTAAGTGGTGTGTAGGGGAAAAACAGGCCCATCATGGATTGCCTGTCTTGAAAATAAGATTGCGCCTGTGTGAGATTTGCTGGAGGGAAGGCTGTATGCAGGGAAAGTTTTGCTGACTAATGGCTAAATGGATAGCTATTAGTGAGCAATATGTTCCCTTTTAGCAATTTGAACCAAATCAGGGGAGGCTGTGCAGAAAAGCTCCTTTGCTCTCTACCTTGTAATTATGTTAATACTGAGCTGCTACATTCTCACCAAATAAATCATGACTCTCATTGGAAAGCTTTTGGCTGGATTAACTACTGGTTTCTAATTAGAAAATCGACTTCTTATGAACCTTGGGACTGAAAGAGATAAGTATTCAATTGGAGATCTCGAGGGGCTTCAGACTGAGACCCTCAACTGTTGTGAAAAACATCTCAGAACATTAAAAGGCACTTGATGCAAGACAGGACCTTGATATATTTACAAATGTCGCTATTCAAACCAATCAAAAACCTGCACTCTGGCTGCTGAGTGGCAGAGGTTCAGAAAAAGACTGTAGGGATGTTCTTACTAAAAGCTGTAGTAATCATTACAATTCTTCAGATTTAAACATCAATTCATATACACTTTTCAATAATAATAATAATAATAATAATAATAATAATAATAATAATAATAATAATAATAATAATAATAATAATAATAATAGTTACTGCCTCTGTCAAACACCTGCTTAACCATTAATACATGTGCTCTTTGTTCTCTGTCTGGTTTCCCTCTTACATATTTTTGAATTGTTTGTTGAGCAATTGATACATTCTGCAGGTGTGAATCCTATGAATTGCTAGAATTGAGGGCCAGCCTATGCATTGTGTGGTGGTATGCTTCATATACAGTTCTCTTCCTTGTGTCAAACTGGGGACCATGCTATATACTGTATGCAGTAAATATGTTTGCCATGTGAAGTGTAGACCTGTCTTTAGGTACTATTTGTTTTCTTTACCAAATACACAAACTGTTTTGGAACTGGATAGTGGTTCGTCTCTTTGACGAAAAGAACTTGCGATGATTTTTTAGGTCTTAGGAGGTTTCATCTTTGATATGCCATCTGTATCTAGCTGGCTGTAGCCGGGGTATGTAACTGACCATAGCCATCCTCTTTTCAAAGGGGATCTTAAGGTTTACCAATGCTCTTGCCAAGGTATAGGTTTCTACGGTAGTATTACATAGTAAAGCATCACTCTGGAACTGTGGATGCAGACAGTGCCTCAATTGGCAGTTTACACGAGGCTAAGAAAAGAAATGAGGCTGTGGGTCAGCAATGGTCTGCCAGAGGCGAGAAGAAGAAGAGGAGGAGGAGCAGGTTCAGGTGCAGGGGAAGAGTTCAATTTGCCAACATCCTGAAGTGATTCACTTATTAAGCCATTTCATGATACCTGAAATTGACAACGGAAGGAGCCAGACTAAATAGGGTCACTTAAGGTCTGTATGCCATTTGGATGCCAAGATCACACCCAATGGCCTATTGTGTCATTACCCAACGTCAAGTGACTCTATTTAGACTCAACCAGCCTGCTCCAAAAGGCCAATGTAGACATGTCCATAGTTTCAGGCAAATATAGCAATCTACATTTACCAGATTTGTCACACCAGGCTCTGGTGAGGTGTCCATCAGTACCCCCACCTCCTTTCCTCTTTGTTTCTTCTAGTTTACATAGCTTTCCTGCAGGGTGAAAATAGACCCTGTAAAGAATTTAGCATCAGGTGCTCTTAACACCATGACTGTACTCGAGCCCTACTCTGTTCTTTTATTAAAGTCCAAATTACAGTGATATTTGTCAGTCACATAGATAAAGCCTGGCTCCTGCCTGAAAGAACAGGTGTCCTCAGAACACTCCAAGAGACAAGAGTGTTGGCAGCCTCACATGAGACGGTCACCTGGGACATTGGCAGCCCGAGAGGAGGCTGTCTTGTGGCTGATGGCCAGCTGCCAGGGTTGTGTGTGCTGTGTAGGAACATACTTATCTTTCCTTGCATGTGTACAAAGATTCTACTACAGTAACTGTATACAGTGATGCCTTGCATAGCGACGATAATCGGTGCAGCAAAAATAGCTGCAAAGCGATTTCGTTGCTATGTGACATTAAAAAGCCCATAGGAATGCATTGAAACCCCTTCAATGCATTCCTGTGGGCTTCAGACTCACCTTAAAGCGAAAATCCTCCATACGGTGGCCATTTTCGCTGCCCGGTAAGTGAGGAATCCATCCTAGAAAACAGCGGGCGGCCATTTTTTCAACCCGGTGGCCATTTTGGAACCGCCGATCAGCTGTTAAAAAATCATCGCTTTGCGATGATCGGTAAGCGAAACAGGGTACCGATGATCGCAAAGTGATTTTCCCCATTTAAAACATCGCAATGCGATCACTTTTGTGATCGCAAAATATTCATCGCTATGCAATTTCGTCATTAAATGGGCGCCCATTAAGCGAGGCATCACTGTATATGTCAGTGGTCCCCAACCTTGGTCCTCCAGATGTTCTTGGACTACAACTCCCAGAAGCCTTCACCAGCACCTCTGCTGGCCAGGATTTCTGGGAGTTTAAGTCCAAGAACCTGTGCAGGCCCAAGGCTGGGGACCACTGGTATATGTTATGGCTGTTTATGTCAGGGAGTTACTAGAAGTCATTATTTTTATGCCTAGTTCAATCTTAGCATTGAACACAAGCCTTTTGCTTAGGATTTCTTAGTCCAGTTAATTGTTACAGCTGACCGTCCAGCACAAAAGGGCTAATTCCACATCATTTTTTTTTAAAAATTAAATACTATATCTTTTAAGCTCTCTCTCTCTTAAAGGTGTGATTTTTTTAAAAAAATGTAAATTACTAAACATGTTCAGTGTTTATGAACAGTTTAAACAAGTTTGATAAACGTAAGGTAAACATTTTGTCTATGTTTCTTAACAAAAAAACGAAAAAGGAAATATCTGTAACTACTTTAGTGTAAACAGCAAATACCATTCTAACTTTTCACATAATTTTTTGTTCTAATACAGATGCCCTTTAAATCTCTTTGACATCAAAATAATCTAAACCTTTTATAAAAAAAGGAGGTAGGCATTAAGTGTTGAACTCTAATTGGCAGCATTTTTCTCCAGATAGTGCACTGTAATGGTGCATGACATTAGCTGGAGATCTATCCAGATCAGTTGCTGTATAATGAACATGAAACCATGACGCCTCTGCCCAATCCCCTGATGCGTTGATTACACTCTGATCACCCCAAGACAGCATACTCGTTGACCAGCTTGGTTGACGATGACAGGGGTTGTAGTGTAACTTATTTGGATGGTAATGGATTGCAAGAAGCTGATTTGTTCTTTGATGGTTAAAAGGATTGCAAATGGTACTTGTGGAATATGTATTTCTCTCACTCCCATATTTAATGTCATTTTAGGCCATGGAAGCAGTCCTCAGATGAATAAAGAATTAGATGCAGAAAGAAGGCTTTCCAGTGCTGCTACAGACAGCGTATACCGATCAACCGCATTCACACATGGTGGTGCAAGAACCTCAAGGTCGCTTCCAGACAACAGCACTTCCACTGTAGCCATAGATAGTAGCACTTACAAAAGTGATAATTCCAACTCATCAGAGCCGATCCTGACCTTGGCATCTGTAACAGAGATGGAAAAAGACAATGTCTCATTAAGTGAAGAACAATCTACTGGGCCTTCTACTGAGCACTTATCTGAATACTCCTCGTTAATTCCCATGTACTCACCTTCACCAAAGGATTCATCAAGTGAGTTTTCTTTAGGAAGGAGGCTGAAGGAAGAACAGATTGTTACTCACCATTGTTTGTGTTGTCTCTTTCCATGCACACTGTAGATCTTTATTATTTAACTGTATGTGTAAATAAGTATAGGTGCACATGTATGTTTGCCGTTGTGTACACAAATACACAGACTGTATCATAGGCAAAGAATAAAAGTTGTGTGCTTTTTAAATTTCATTCTTTGAAAACCAGAAATTTTTTTTTCTCCAATAGATATCTAGGATAAACTTCAGGCCAATGAAATTTCACTCTTTGCAACATTGCCGTGGCAAAACTGCAGGTTTCAGTTTAAATGACTCATCTTAAAATGGAGCAGTGAATATATCTTTCTCTGTATTAGACATTGTGCAAACTATAGAACTTCTGATATTGAGTTGTTTGAAGCAAGTACCATTTTAAAAGTTTCCTTTCTGAATTCCTATTTCAGCTGCCGGAAGCAGTCCTCATTCGGTTAGAAGTTCAAACCATCCACAGTCTTCTACTGAAAGCACCTACACTCTAGCCTCTTTCAGCAATGGAGAAGGGGTAATCAAAACTACATTTTCCCAAGCAACTGAAAGTCCCTCATTAAATAGGGAAGAACTGGACAGCTCTGAAGTAAATCCTTCCTCTCCAGAGGTATACTCCAGAGGGACTGACCCCTCAACAGAAAACCTAGGTATCTATGGGTCTTCAACAGAGATTCTTCAAAGTCTACATTCACCAAGAACACCATCTTACTTCTCCTTCCAAAGTGAATCTTCAAGTGAGTTTTAAGTTGCACCGTGTAAAGATTGCACCCTGGGTTCTGTACTGCCCCTTAAGAAAGATGGCCATGTAATAGTCCTATAAAGTGCCTTGCCAGGTCCCACTGATTATGACAAAGGGTGAGGGATAAGCAAGTCTCCTAGGGGTGGAATTTCCACATTCTGAATACCCCTACAAAAATGAATCTCTTCCACTTTCCCAGTAACTGCACCTTAGAAGGCAAAGATCCTCATTAGATAAACTCAGAAAGTAAGCAGGCCTGTGAGCTTCCAGTCCCTGCCTGGTGTAGAGTTTATTTTCACAGATTGCCTGCTGCTCTTAGGAGACTTTTTCAAGCATTGTCAAATATTTCTGAGTAACAATTCAGGTGTTTAGAAAGACAGTAACTAATTCTTGGTATTGGTTACACATTAGTTTTTACAAAAATGCTTAGGCTTAATTCTTACTAACATGCTCTTACAAGCAGAATTCATTACCTTAGTACTTCAAAGATAATAAATATATTCGTATACAGATAATTCTTATTACTTATGTAACATTTTGCTTATTGTCAGGATGTTTATACTAGCAGTCCTTTGGAAGTCAATGTTGAGAATGCTATGGTCATGTTTGCATTGATTTCTCTTTGACCCAGTCTCCATAATCACTTTATTTATATCTTGAGTCTGAATTTTATATTCTATCTGTCTGAAGAAATAAACTGCAATCCCTAAAAACTCATGCTAAAATAATCTGTCCATAAATGCTGCAAGACATTTTTTTCATTGTTGTTAGTTTTAATGCTGTGAATTGTATTTCATGGCTTTGTTGGTTTTTAAAATATTTTTTAAAATAGCAGGCCATTCTGCTATTTTAAAAAGTCAAGGAAGAGAAAAGCTAAATTAGTAAGTATGTATGTGTGCCACTTATACGCTTAACATTCTTATTTTGCTTATACACTTTGACACATTTTCAACTCTGGTTTTATACAGCAGTTCATGTAATAGCTACTTATTTCTTATAGGATGCTTGTCAGCAGCAGGTTAATGCTTAGAGGCACCTTCAATGAGAAGAAATATACAGAACCGTGATTTTTTATAGGCTTCCTCCTGTCAATACCATTGTACAGTGGGCCATCATCTTTCTTCAAGGCAATAAATTCACATGATCTATATTGCAATGGACTTGCCAATAATGGCCAGGATCCAGTGGTCTGTATTTGCTAAATCCTATTCCATCCATCAGAATTGGTAATTCCTGCTGTGTTTGCACTACCACCTCTATGAACCACAAAAGTGCTCCAGTAGGGTGATCAACTTTCTGGAGCAGGTTTTAGGTGCCACAAACAGTTGCAGTAGAAAAGAAAAGGAAGTCTTGATTGTGCTGTTGTTGGATATGGACATGCATAATTAGATCTTGGTGAACTTTATATTGCTTCTGTCTTTGATTTTTATTATATCTATAGAAATTTCCTACTAATCATTCACTTATGTTTGTATTTCAGATACTGAAACAGACTCCCACCCGATGAATAGTAATGATACTGGCAAAAGGACCTCTGTTTCTCATACTGACATCACATTCACCTCAACCACCTTCACAAGAGGTGGAGAAAGGACATTATTGTCTGTTTTAAACAGCAGTACATTGCCAGATTCATCAGAAAGTTCCACTTTTCATGTAGAAATTTCCAGTCCTTCAGAGCTGACTCAGACCATATTTTCTGAGAACCAGAGTAGAAGTAACACATCCTCAAATTACATGGACTTTTCTGCACCATCCACAGAACCTTTGGATGTATATTCCCAGAAAATACCCGAGTACCCTTCTACAGTGAGTGAGCCACATACCATTCAGTTTTCTTCAAAATCTGAATCTATATTTTCCAGCAGCTCATTCCCATCTTCCTTGTCAACATCACAGAAACAAGACTCATATTCACCAACTCAACCACCAACTTTGTTTTCATCATCAGAACCTTCCTTCCCATCATTATCCTCCACTTTCCCATCAACGTTATCATCACCCTCTCAAACCCCTTCTGTGACATTTTCACATAGGCTGTCATCAACAGCACTACTCCCATTGCCATCTTTACGGCCTTCAGTTTCTTCATCATCTTCACCTTTACAGCCTAGCAGAAGTCTTGAAACAAGTGTTTCTATGAGTACATCTGGAGGGACAACTGGATTAGACCCTCATACAGCTGCAAGTGCCCACACTGAGCACAGCCACCAGACCAAGACATATATGTTGAAGGATAGCACAGTTCTGAGGTCAACAGGGCCTTCGCCTCTTCTAACAGAAATGACTGAACCACTTACAAACCTTTCTTCACCAGTTACAATCTCCCTAGAAGACACCCCAGCCACAAAAGGACAAAATGTTTCTCTACAAGGGACTAACCATGAAAAAAGTGTTCCCATGTTGACTACCTCTCCCACATACTTTCCAGAAAGTACCATGGTTTCTGAAACAGCAAAAGCAACAACTCCTACATTGCCAAGTACAACCACGCCAAAAGATGCCTTTAATTTGGTAGAAACAACAACAGGAAAAAAACTTACTGAGGTAACATACACAACATTGAGAATACCTACTTTGGTAGCTGGTACAGATGTTCTAGTCAGCACGAAGCCTCACAAAATTCAGCCATCCTCTACCATGATAACTTATGCCACTGAAATGCCTATAAAAGGAACAAAGAAGACCAGCACAACAACTGCTGTAGTTCAAGAGCACATAAAGACTACTACCCAGCCTCCCGTTATGCTTTCTTCAAGCAAAACCTCTAGAGGGGCTTCACCTGTTCCCCCGGTTTCCACCAAAGCAACTACTATTGTTTGGTTTGGAAGCACAAAAATATTTCCAGCTTCCCCTGGAAAAGGTAAATGATTAAAAGCAGCTGTGGTGTGAAAGACACATTTCATTTGTGTTGAAAAATTGCTAATTTGGATGGGAATTCATTTGGTGTATATATACATTTTTTAGGTATACAGAAGTGGCTGTAAGATTTGTAAACCATTCTATGAAACAGCCCAGATTAATTCATCCAAAAAATGAACATGAAGTATATCAAACATATTAAAAATAATTAATTGATGTGTTTCTTAAAGACAGAAAACATATACAGTGGTGCCTCACTTAACGAGCGCACCGTTTAACGACGAATCTACATAGCGATCTATTTTTTTAGATCGCTAATGCGATTGCATTGCGATGTTCTGAATAGGGAAAACATCGCATTGCGATGATTGGTAAGCGTTTCGCTTACCGATCTTCGCATTACAATGTTTTTTAAACAGCTGATCGGCAGTTCCAAAATGGCCACCGGGTGCCCAAAATGACCGCCACAAGTGGTTTCGCGCCCTGCCCTCACTTACCGAGGGCGCAAAAATGACGGCACTATGGAGGAACTTCACTGAACTGTGAGTTTGGGAGCCATAGGAACGCATTAAACTAAGTTTAATGTGTTCCTATGGCTTTTTACGTTCCATTTAGCGATGTTTCTGCATAGCGATGATTAATCTGGAATGGATTAACATCGCTATGCGGGGCACTACTGTACATTAATAGCGAAGTGCTGAGTTATTCATATTTTGTAGTAAGTTAGAAGGTCACAGAGAAACAAGACAGGTATAAGCATATTCAGAAGATGGTTTTGGAAGTAGAAATAATATTTTGGGGGAGAACAACTAAAAGGGTAATTCCCTTTCCTCCACAGCCTAAAATGCTCAGTGGCAGAATCCGAATTGTCTGACTTTGGGGGACAGGAAAGAAGAATGAAGGTAGCGGTTAGGAGAAATTGAATTGAGTATCATAGAAAAAATATGCTTCGCTGGCTAGACCTTCACCAGAAGGTTCTCTACACTGTAAGACTTTGTTGCAGGCTCGGTGTGTATAATAGCATATTTTTCTTGATTTGTTTGTAGTCAGGATTTTTTGCAATGGTTCTACTAACTTCCCTTTTTAGATAAAAGAATAGATTGTGATTTGTTCATAATAGCCTCCACTTTTGAAATATTGCAAGAATTTATGGCTGTGTCCTTCCCACTATTCTTGCCAAACAAAACAGCCATGTGTAATATAAGCTGAATACATCACCTGTTCCTCTCTGAAGAGTGTATCTCTTCGTTTTGCTTTTAAGATGTTGCTAGCCCAAATTAGTAGAAGCTGGTTCTCAGTATGGTTTAGGAGCCCAGCAATAACCATATGTGGAACAGTTCTGGAGACTGGGTTGTTGTCACTGACCACAGGAGTGGCATATGTCACAGGCAACTTGAGTTGTGATTCTGATATCTGAAAAGAAAGCATTGTTTTTTGTTATATAGATGTATATTACTGCGTTAACTGGGGATGTGGAAAGCTTTAGTCCCTTTGAACTATCCTGACATAACTCCCAAAGTGTTATTTCACAACCAATGTGTGTACCAGAGATACTTGTCATAAACATGGAAACTGCACTGTGGATTGCTTGATAGACAAATTCTAATGCCACTAATGTTCACCTGGTTGGCAAGAAGAAGAATGCAGCATGGGTACAAAATAAATGGCAAATATTTATAGGAGTACTATAGCAGGTATTCATTCCTACCACCCAGAGCTTTCCAAAAGCACAAATGATAACAATTACGCTGCAGTGCAAAGGACTCTACTATTTTAAATCATTTTTATGCCAAGGGTTTCTTGCTGTTGTGTTAAAATGGTGGGGCCTCTGCAGTGCTAACTGCAGCAACTTTCCTATCGTGCAGGAAGTCCTCAGAGCACCCTATTGCACCAAAGAGCACTAAACGCTGGCAGGGCAAAGCATCTCCTTGTCTGGTGCTTTGCAATTACCACAAACAGACCTTTCCTGCTTTGTTCTGTGGCAGTTCTGGAGATGATGGGCTCAAAGAATCAGGCACACCCATCCCAGGGCCTGCATGTTACCCCTCATATCATCAACCTGAAGTTCCATCCTTTGGCACACTGGAGGCTGAATGTTCACCTGGGAATTCTCTAGTCACAAAAGCCCTGGGAACTAATAAGAACTTCCATTTGGACACTCACATTGGAACAGTCCATTTCATTCCCCTTTTCACCCTAGTGATAGCTGCTTTCTTCTGAGCAAACGTAGTATCTGATGTTATGTGATTTTATCTAAATAATGTAGCTTTATCTTCCAGGTCACTGACCGTAATAAAATAAAGTTAAATATAAAATAAAAAGTTTTCATGATACAGGCTGGTTTTTCCTTTTCTGTTTCAGATGTAGATGAGTGTCTGTATAATCCATGCCCAGCCTTGGCCACATGTACTAATACACAAGGTTCCTTCCATTGTACGTGTTCTCTCGGCTACCAGATGGAAAAAGGAAAGTGCAATTTAGGTAAGAGAGCCAAGAAAAAGAAGGGGGAAATTGTAACAAATAAGCTTCTTAATAAGATATAAATCTGCAGGGAGCTTAAATCTTTTCATTACTAAAGGAATGTTCTTGTTACCAGAAATAGCTTTAACATCATTTTCTTGATTTGCAATTTCAGTTTGATGGTTGCAGCTTTATGACACTGTGGAATTTATATAAATCTCTACTTCATAAATTAGTTTTGTTGTCTAATTGTCAGCCAGCTTTATTCAGCTTTATACAGTAGGTACTCTGCCTTATCTAGATGTCTCTGAGATCTAATTTGTTCATGACATATTAGTCTGAATTCCTCTCAAGTTATTGAGTCCTTTGAGGTTTAAAGCACACACATGTGAAATGAATCCCTCACAGAACAGGGCAGGGCAATTGAACTGACAAAAGAATGGGTTGTTTGTTGTGGCAAAAATAAGCTTTACATGCATGCACACAGAGAGGCAGAGATGTAAAGTGTAAAGACACAACTCCGTTCAAATCTCACTGACCCCCCATAGCTTATCCTCGGACAAGTTAAGTGGCTGCAAATCAGAGGAACTGTTGGAGGAGAAAAGCCTCCCAGAAGGATCACCAGGTGCAGCAAGTGGTATTTGTTTTTATCCCAAGAGTATTCTTGGCTATATCTCTTTCTTATTATAACTCAAGGGTGGGCACTTTTATGGGGTGCCCGGGATATTCAGAAACACATTTGGGCCTCTGGGGATCACGTGTGACCTCTTTTCCTGAGTCAACAATGTCTCACCATTGCTATGGCCACCATTTATTCATCTGTACAAGGTCAGTGCTGCACAAAAGGACATTATTGAAGGATGATCCAAGTATATTCCAGCTCTTCTTCCCCAGGTGCCTTGGTCTACCCCGCCTATCTGGCCCACCGGACCACTCCGGTATATTCCAGCTCTTCTTCCCCAGGTACCTTGGTCTATAGGTGAGGGGAACCTACCCCTTAAGACAGAATTTATCCCTGAAATGCACTGTTTTTCCCCATCCCCTCTCAATATCCCTAAAATGGACCATTTCTTTATTGAGTTTTCAGCCATTCTCAGAGGTATTTCCATACTTACTCGTAATGGAGGTTTATCAATACTTAGAATCTGCATTTCTCAAGTGTGTGAAAAAAAAATCTCTACTCAGAAATTATCTTTTTTTTTTGCATTGCATCAGGCATTAACATTTTTAGAAACAAAGTTTATAATGTTTGATGACCTCAGGATGCATGTTCCCTCAGCCAGGAAACATGTAAATCAACACACAATTGCATGCCACCCACCATACAATGCTAGTGTTTTTAAAGCAGAACTCCAGGGGCTGGGAAGGGATGGATGAAACTAGACTTTTCAACTAACAAGTTATCCTCTTGTCTTCAGTAAGAACATTTGTTGGCCAGTTTCCACTTCTGTTTAACACAACTGGAGGGAAGTACTCAGAACTTCATCAAATTGAAGAAGGCATCAAAAACATGGTGAGTATTGAAACCTGGCTTAAGAAGAGTATTTATCAACAGCACTAAATAGTGAGGCAGTTTTCCAGTGGTAAAGGGGGCTTCTACCACTGAGGGGCCATTTTGGGAATTGAACACATACAAGAGAGCATCACAAGTCACAAGCATAAAGGTTGCTACTTCAGGACCTTGAGGGTGTGTGGCTCCTAAAGGGCTTCTTAATTCATTTTTCCCATCTGTGAAGAGAGGTGGCTGACTTTCTGTACAGTACAACCTGCAAGCCTTAGCTTTCGAACAAAGAAACTAAACGAGTGTAAGTGTTTTTATATAACACTGTAGCAGTATCTCAGTACCAATGCTCCAAAAACTGACTCTGCTTTCATTATAATCTGACAGAAAAACAGCATCTTTTGATTCAGATTAATTAGGTTTCTGGACAAAAATGCCCACCTTTAACTTTCCTACAGCATACCTTGAAAAGATTACTTCCTAAATTCAGAATTATTTCTCCATCAGGTTTGCTTTTCCCCCCCTTTCTTTTTATCTGAGGAGGTTAATTTCACTTTGATAATACTATGAGGCCTCAGCACCTTAAAGCAACAATCCATATTTATTCTTTTTCTTCTTATAGCTTAATGATTCCCTTTCAATGCTGCCTGGCTATTACACCTCAACTGTTAAGACATCAAGGTAAGGAACAGAAAGCACCAGTTTTTGATGGCAGGGGATTGGATTTTAATTCTTCCCACTCCAACGTTGACATAGTTACCTTATTGTTACCCTTTTGATGCATTCTGAATTATTTTTTGTTCTTCACCACTCTGTGTAGAAGTTCTAAGGAACAGTACCCCTTCTTGTGTTATAAAATGCACCCCTCCGGGGTTAATCAGCTGCATGCCATTGATAGATGAGGCTGGAGCAGTAACTAGCAACTTTGGCTCCTGGAGCTTCCCTGCACAATTGGTTAAGCTTGGGTCATGTGAGGCTGGCATATGCAGAGGGAGGATGCAGGAACAGAGAGGAACACCTGTCTCTGCCCAGGAGATGGATGTATCGTTCCATGCTGAGCTCATCTGTTTTGTGCTTCCTTTTGCCCATGGAGTTGCTGTTGGAGGCAATATACAGTGGTGCCCCGCATAGCGACATTAATCCGTTCCGGATTAATTGTCGCTATGTGGAAACATAGCTAAACGGAACGGAAAAACCCATAGGAACGCATTAAACTTTGTTTAATGCGTTCCTATGGGGCCCAAACTCACAGTTCAGCGAAGTTCCTCCATAGCGCCGCCATTTTCGCACCCTCGGTAAGCGAGGAAACCGCGCGAAAATGGTTGCGGCAGCCATTTTGGGCACCCGGTGGCCATTTTGGAACCGCCGATCAGCTGTTTTAGGAACATCACAATGCAAAGATCGGTAAGCGAAATGCTTACCAATCATCGCAATGCGATGTTTTGCCCATTAAACCATCGCAATGCGATCGCATTAGCGATCTAAAAAAATAGATCGCTATGTAGATTCATCGTTAGACGGTGCGCTCGTTATGCGAGGCACCACTGTGCGTGCTCAGGGTGGGCAGCTGTATGCCCTTCCAGCAACAATGTGTTGTGCCCTCTAGACTTCAGCAACCTGAGTCAAAGCCCCGGTTGGGCACTAATTCCTAGAATTCCCCCAGCTGGTACAACCACTGGCCATGTGGACTGGAAAATTCAGGCAGTTGTAATCAGAAAAATGAACTAGCCCACACTCTGGGCCAGAGACAGATACGAGTACTCCCACCCACTTTTCTCTATAGCCATTTTCATAGAATGAGAGACAGGGAGAAAGAGCTGTGTTAAGTGTGTTCTAGCCCACACTCTGGGCCAGAGACAGATACGAGTACTCCCACCCACTTTTCTCTGTAGCCATTTTCATAGAATGAGAGACAGGGAGACAGAGCTGTGTTAACTGTGTTTCATCAAAAAGGGCAAAAGTAAAAGTACTATAATCCCTTTAAAGCTAACAAATACATTTCACTGTGGGCTTTAATGATTTATAGTCCCCTCCTTCAAGGGATGTCTTCATTGATCCACCTGTGTGAAGACATGGGGCTGTAATCCATGAGAGCTCATATTGAGGGGGAAAAAGATTTATTCGTTTTAAAGGAGCCATGGCACTTCTATTTTTCCTTTTCCTTTTGTCCCCCCCGCCCCATCTCCTTTTACTCGCTCTGTTTCTGGCTTCACCACCACCTCACACAGAAGTGGCTGCCAAGGAAAACACAGGTTTTTTTTGGCAGAAATCGCAAGTGGTCCTTTGCTCAGGGCTTATAAAATAAGGCCACAGGCATATGCCATGCCAGTGGTTTCATTATCATGTGTGGCTGTCACAATGTATTGTTAACCAATATATCGGTGTAAAGGTTGATTGCCCATCTGACAAAATCTGTCCCCCATTTTACTGGCAGGAGGCGTCAGGGCACGGCCGTTTAGACTGGCAGGGCCTTGTTCCGCTTGCATAATTTTTAACGCTGTCAGTCAGTTATCTATATATCATTCCAGGATCACACTATCCATTTTTTACCTTGAACATTTCATATGCTTTCATATCACCTGAAATTTATCTTGCGGTTGACCAAATATGCAGGGAAAAAAATCCACATATTTCTCTATCATTTTTTCCCTTATGCAAAGGCAAGTAGTCGTGTACGCAACACATTGTCCATCCACAGTGAGGTTTTGAACTACTGCTTAGTCCCCATGTAAAGGAGTACAGGATTTCTGTGTGTTCCTTTAGTAGCTAAGAAGATAAATTATAATGATGCACCATCAAGTTGATTTCAACATGATGACCCATTCCAGGATTTTCTAGGTAGAGATATTGAGAAATGGTTTACCATTCCCTTCTTCTGGAGGGCATCCTGGAACTGTGCAGCTTTCCCAGTGCCACACAGGCTGACTTTTCTAGGGTGCATTAGTGGGAAACTGAACTTCCAACCTCTGGCTGCGCAGCCAGATGCTTGACTCACTGGAGTATCTAGCCAGCTATCTAAGAAGAAGAGGAACTGTAATCATACATTCTTCCGCTGTTGTCTCTCGCTGTATCAAATTATAGATTGAAATTTTCATTCTACCCTTTGGCCTCCCATTTAGCACAATATTGTCAGTGTACAACCGCAGTAGGGAATTTGGATAGGAATAGCTTGTCATGTGAGGCCATAGAAGAGGCCTGAAATCGAAAGTGTTGTACCTGAGATGAAGGAACAGGAACTCTGCCTGTTTGTGCCATTTATATGGTATTAGTGCCGTTCACAAGTAAGTGCTCTGGTTCTACAACTTCAAAATCATAATGCAGACTTTATGTTTTTGCTCTCTTTTCAGGCAGTTGGGCACCATCCAAGTGTCTGTCTTGAGCACATTTTCCTTAATTTCCAATGTTACCCTTTATGACGTTGTCAGCGCTGTGCGAAACCACATTCAGGCCTGCAAGGCTCCCACAGAGACTTGCCAGTTCATCTCTAACTTTACACTGCTGCACAGAGGTAAATGGCATGGTTAAAGATTGTGCCTTTTTAAAAAGAGTGTTGAAAAGAATGTTCTTTTATGTTAAGCTCCCCTCCCCCTTCAAAGCTCTCTTTGAAAGACTTTCTTCCACTGAAGTAGACAACACTTTGAAAGTCTCTGGGTCACAAGTGGGCAGTGGCTAATCTTCCAGATGTTGATTTAGACATTTCTGTATGACTTTTCATTTTGTAAATTTCAAAGAAGTTTACAATAATGCAGTATAAAACCTCACAAAGTACAATAAAACGAAGTAATAAAGGTTAGTTCCTAACCTTGGGTAACCTAGGGTGTTACTGGACTGCAGTTCCCAGAACCCTTCACCACCAGCTGTGCTGGCTGGGGGTTCCTGGGAACTGCAGTCCAAGAACACTTGGATCAGTTCCACATGATAGAAGCCAAACATGAGAAGGCCCTTCTCCACATGGCACCCAAAAGTATTTCAATTGACCATGGTACATTAAGCAGCCCACACACTGACGTTCCAAACATTGGGACTGTTGTAGTCTATCCAAAAGAAGATAATCTCTCAGAGAATTTAGTTCTGAGTTATTTAGGACTTTAGAAACAAAACTGGCACCTTGAACTTGCCTCAGTAACTAACTGACAGCCAGTTTGGGGATTTCAACACAGGGCTTTTAATTGGTATAAGGGGAATCCTGTTATACAGCTTAGTTGCTACATTCTTAATGAACTGTGGCATCTAAATGGGGTCCATAGTACTCACACATAAAGCACATAGTCCCATGTTAAGGCGTTCTACGATTGCATTTCCCATTACCCCTTAGCCAGCATAACCAATGGTGAAGGGTCATGGGAACTGCAATCCCATAATGTCTGAAATACCACAAGTTGCTCATCCCTGTTCCACAGCCCAAATACAGATTTCCAGTCTTACTCTAATGAATGAGAAACGGTTTACCTCTGGCAGGGAATGGGTGATCACAGAAGGGCTGAGGGCATTTTTTAAAAAATTGCCAGCAGTCTGAGGGCTGCATTCCCAAAGAGGAAGGGTGTGACCAAAACAACAAATGTGCACCTTTTTAATGTGGTGTTTGAAGTTGATAAAGGTCACTACAATGGAGTTGTATTAACTGGGGGTGAAAAACATATTTAGCTTTAAAAAAGGTTTTTAAAAACTGTAACATTCCCGTTGTGCCCTCTAAGGGCCAAAGCATTAAAAATTAAGGGGTTCTTGGTGACCTTCAAAACATGGCAGAATTTTACTATTCCCTCTAGAAAGCACAAGGAGATGGCATATGAGAGTGAGTGAGTAACTATTGAGGGGATGTTTAGCATATACTCAAGCAGGAGGTATTGCAAAAATGCCTCTGAGGTGCCTAGGTGATCTGCGCCTGCTGTAAATGAAATGCAAGGCACATGGTGGGATGGATGTCATTCAGAAAAGGCTAAACCTCAGAGATGCAGCCCCAGTTCCTGACCACATACATAGTCTGAACCTGTCAAAATCGTGTGTACAGTTTGTGGGGAAGAAAGGCAGGAATGGGAATGATACCCTCAGTGTTTAAAAAAATCAAATAAACAGCTGAACTGTTAATGGCCCGATTTTAATGAGGTTTGGTTTTTAAAATAGTCTAATTTCAATGAAGTTTGTCTGGCAGTTAGAATTTATCATGCATGCTAAATCATTTGGGAGGGGAAAAAAGAGTTTTGAAAGACTAAGCACAGTCAAAAGTTACAAGTTTAGGGTTGGAATTCCATTGCTACCTACCTTGGAGTAAGCCTCACTGAATTCAATAGGACTGACTTTTGGTTAGACAGGATTGGATTGTAAAGGGCATCTTAGTTCTCCGCCCACTAAGGATATGCAGAGCAACCTCAGAAAAAGACCAAAGCCACAAAATGAGCGGCTGAAGCAGGAAAATGTCCCAGCGTGGGTGGAACCCTAATCCATTCCGGCATGATTTACTGTTCTTGATTTACTTTTTTTAAAAAACAAAACAAAGGAACAAGGAAGCAAAATATTATCTCTCTTTATATGTAATTTTCTCTCTTTAGATGTAAAATTTTTTTCTCTCTTTATATGCAAAATATTTTCTCTCTTTACTGATATAAGGTGCCAAATGGTGCACCATGGTATAACAGTGTTGCGCTTCAGTGAGAGATCAGGCACCAAGGCATGATTCTAATTCAATGTGGGGCGAATTGAGAGTACAGACGCCTTTGGAAACTAGCTGTCAAATGTTTCAGCTGCAGAGGAAGTATAAACAGCCAGTTGATCAAAGGACATGCCCATCTCATTTTTAAGCATTTTTAAAACATTCCCTTTCAGTACCTGTTCTCTTAACAATGTAAGAAGGAAGCTTTGGTGTAAAGAGAGATGTCAAATTCAATGCGCTTGCAGATTTGCTCTCATTGCGGTGAGGCGGGAGCAGTACCGAAAGCTTTGCCATAGACAAAGAGAATGTGGTACATTGGGGTCCCAAACAATCCATACTCCCAGTTTAACTTCCATGGGCATTGTTTGAGAGAAATTAGCAAAATTTTGAACCTCAGAATGTCATAATAATGGGGGTGGGAAAGGGAACCAAGGTAGTTCTAGAAGCACTACCATCTAATACCAGTTCTGCATTAATAGGGCAAGATACCAGTCAACAGGTAGGATTTCCCCCAACTGTATTTCAACATTTTCTATTTTAAGTTATTTTACTTGTATTTATTTTTGATGTTATGCAACAGCTGGCGGTCTGTGTAAACACAAAGATCCGGAATGTGACAAAGAAACTTCTGTGTGTGTGGATTTGGATGGCATTGCGGTTTGCCGGTGCAGGCCTGGATACTTCAAGTACAACAAACTGGATCATTCGTGCAGAGGTATTGTGCCTGACACAGCAGGATGGCTGGCTGTTGGTCTTTCATCTTTTGGTTCCAGTTGAAAAGACTTTCCACAGATCAAAAGTGATTTCTTTTATTTCTAGACATGCTAAGGAGCTCAGGCCTCTAAGTATGAACTAAGAGGTTATTAGGTTTCTTTCTCTCTGTGCCGATTTCTTTTTTACAGTAAAAATTAGGGATATTGTCTCCCGCTTGCTCCCTGTGCATCAATAATATTTTCTTTCTACACAGCATGCTGTGTAAGCCAGAAAGATCCAGTGAAAATAATTTAAAAGGGGGGGCAGGCCAGGGATGGGTCTGATATGCCTGTGGTGAAAGTTCAGTGTTTAGAGATGACATAGTGTAGTTGTTCCTGTCTCTGCTTTGTCTCCTCTCCAAGGGAAGTAAAAAGTGTGTTGCTTTTAGTTCACAGGCTCTTTGAGTGAAACTAAGCCGTTGTTCAAATGATCTAAGAGAAAAGTGGGAATCGTTGAGTCCCTCAAGATAGATAATATATTTAACACAAGTCCATACCACTTACTTCAATCTGTTGAAACATTAAAATCAATTCGGTTCAAAATAGAACATTATTTTTAAACATTCATAGATGCTAAATTAAAAGGATAGATGATAGAAAATCTTTTCTTGATTTTTAACAGTATGATTGATTCCCCCAAACATCTGTGGAGGTAGCCACTGCAGTGTTTCTTTAGTCCTTCCCTTTAATCACCAACAAGCAGAAACAGAACATGTTGAAAAGACAACATCTGTATTTAGAAACAATTTAGTTTTTATTTGTTTAGTGCATGATACTGATCTGTGGCAGCATTATGGTACCCGTGGTATAGCTAGGGAAAACATTCTGGAGGAACCTCATGCTGTACTGGCCTTATTTGATTTTTTTAAATAGTTAAAAATCACATAGTTACTTAGTTACGAATGAATTCATTGAAAAAACTGCCTAAAATACTTCAAGAACTGACTTTCAGCCTGTGAAGTCTTTGACATTCTCTGTGATTATAAGAATGGTTACAGCTAGAGATGGTTGCAAACTGGAAAACCAGTGGTTTGTGATGGTTCGTGTTTAGCCACAAATCCCCAGAGAAACAAACCAGTTCATGGTTCATTTTTCTGGCTCGTGCCAGGTGGGGGAACCTACCTGCTCCTGCTGCCTTCACCTGAGCCTCCTCTGCCACCACCACCATGTCTGCCTAGCAGCTGGGTAGTGGCTGCCTTCTCAGAAGTAGCAGGCCCAGCTTTCCTGGCAGGAGTTGGGCCCACTACCTCTGAGGATGGAGATGATGGTGAAGGTGGTGGGCAGGCATTTTGCTGAAGCAAAATGAAGCACTGAGAGGAAAAAAAAAGGTTGGTGACTCATTTTGCCTTTGTAAAATGGGATCCAAACTGGGTTGTGAACCAAACCCCAAAACAGCCTGGTTTGTCGGTTTTTCTGGTTCATCGTTCGGTTTGTGCCCAACTTTAGTTATAACCTTTGTAAGCAACTACTTTCCTCCCTTAGCATCTTGTCATTCTGCATTGATTCCTTGAGTTTCTCCTTCTTTAGCTCACTAACATCTTTATGGCTATCCCAACCCCTAGTCTAGAGGCATCTGCAAATGATCAGTTAACATCCCAGCAGTTGGGAGGGGAGAGTAGGGGGGGGAGAGAGAAGGAAAGAGAGAGAGAGAGAGAGCAGGTGGTATGGAGAAAACAGAGGGTGGCAGAAAGTGAGGCTTGCCTAGGTTCAGGTTTAGCCCCATTCACAGATGGGTCCACAGCCCTCAATATATTATCTTCAAGGGAATGTCCTCTTCTACAAAAAACATGTTGCCCTCTCCACTGTAGGGCTTGGAGTACTACCTGCTGTAAAGTGACCTGATGCAAAGGACAACGCTCCCATGCCTCTTAAAAAGAGGAAATTTTGGCAAATGCAGATTGCTTTTCAAGGGTAAAGCAAAGATGCATCTATTGATATTCCTTTTTCTAACAGGAGCCTTGCCTTACTTCACTTCTGATTATTCTATACCACACAATGTAGTTTCAGCTAACTCAGTGTGGTACTGAATGCTCTCTCTGTATAAAATGTAACAAATAAACTTCGAGTGTGCATAAATGGCTCCACTCAGGTAGTTACTGAGGCAAATGCATAAATGGCTCCACTCAGGTAGTTACTGAAGCAAAATATTGCTTGCTTGCTTGCTTATTTATTTATGCATGTGCTTGCTTGCTTGCTTATTTATTTATTTATGCACGTAGACAGACAGACATAAGACTTGTTAACATACAGCTCTCAAGGGTTTCTGGCAGACTTTTAAACTGGAGATTGAACTCGGAACCTTCTGCAGGAAAAATATATCTCTTACCACGAGATTCTTTAGATAAACTTAAAAGTGATTCAAAATCTTACTGTCCACAACAGTAAGAAATGGAGCAAAGAAGCTGTGATAGCAAGCCCTGTAACAGCAAGTACTAAGAGGAGACAGAGGGATATAGCCCAGGTCTTCCTCCTCCTAGTCAACTGTTTACAGCTAGATTACTGCTGACTTTTCCCAAGTAGACTCTATATCCTGAAAACACCTAAACAATACAACCTCTTGTCAGCCAAGATGACCTCCTGTTTTTCTCAGGTCTTTCCATGTGACCGCTTAGGTTTTGTCCATCAAACCCGAATGTGGAGGGGAAGAGAGCTGTGCCTTGAGATGTGGTAGAAGGGGTGACCACCCTATGATGAAGCACTTTGGATGAGCCACCGTAGAACTCCAACAGTCTCTTCCAAGTGTACTAGGGTTCTCTGTAAGGGTCCTGTGCCTGAGAAGTGCCTGCATTTACCTCAGGTATTATTTCATATCCCCTGCAATTAGAAAAAAAAATTGGCTGTTGATATGGATAAGTGGTCAGAGGGCAAAGAGTTAAGAATCTTCACTGCACTTTGGAGTCACTAGAGGCTATTTTTAGTGAAAATTAATTTAAGGAAATACAGACAGCTCTGTGTCATAATCTGTGGATTTATAGTGACCTCCACTGGTCAGTTGATTTATCTTGCAATGGCTATATAGATTTCCCTTCACTATTTGATTATTACATGCAGAACAAGAAGAAACCTGGCCACTCAAAGTTCTCATACCAACAGTAACATTGGTCATCATGATTCAGAAGATACTTTTGCTCCAGACTCCGTAAAGGGTGGCCTGGGACAGGACTACACGTATTTTCTAAACATGTCACATTGTCCCAAACTATGGGTGCACAGGTGATGAAGTTGCTTTGGATTTGAGAAGATTTTAAGTATTTATTAGTTTAAGGGCTTTAAACACCCCCACACTCACTGGCTCTCAGACTCTTCTGACAACTGTAAGAATTATTAAGGTTCATTTGTGTTGTATTTTCTGAGAATCACTGCCCATATTTCCACAGAAGAAACATGATGGTGGATCTTGTTCTCTACAATGCAAGGTAGACTTGTGCTTTTGTCAACAGCACATGGCAAGCTCCTTCTGAAACTGAAAGAAGTTTTCTGTTTTAAATGTGAAAGTGGTTTTCTGTTTTGTGTGGGGAGTAACTCTCACATTTTTGACATTATGCACTCAAAGTGCATCTTGGGATCTCAGCCATTATATTTTCTCTAGCACAGAGGCTTGCTCACACACATTTTCTCTCTCTCTCTCTAGCATGTGAAGATGGATATAAACTTGAGAATGACACCTGTGTGAGGTACAGTAAAGTAGAAATTGAAACATTTTGTTTCTCATTCCCCTCAGTGGATGCATTTTGATCATTCTGGTACTGATTCCAGTGTCCTGATTTGTAAGTTTGGGGTGGGTGGGACTCACTGTGCCTAATGTATGAAGGGAGTGAGGGGCAATCATGGGATCCTCCATCTTCTAGTGGGGCCATCCATGTTCCCACGGTCCAATTCAGACTGAAAGATACACCAACTGCCGTGGGTTTGCAAGGTGCAGAAGTCCCTTATGCTGCCATAATAACCTTGGGTTGGCACTACCCCCTTGGGTGAGGTCTTCTCCTAGGCCAATGGTTCCCGACCTTGGTTAAGAAACCCTGGCCAACATTCAGTTGGCAGTGAAGGCTTCTGGGAATTGCAGTCCAAGAACACCTACGTAGGTTACCCAGAGTTTGGAACCACTGGCCTAGCTATTATTTTTATTACTTGACAGAGGCTGGGAGTAGCTAATGACTCTACATCTTGCTTGCAGTTGTCCATTTGGATTGGGAGGCTTCAACTGTGGGAATCGTAAGTATCCTGTCTCATGCTTGAAACTGCTCATCTGAATGTATTTTTATTTAAAAAGTTTGCATGCTGCTTTTCAGTACAGATTTTCAGTGCTATGTATAACAAAAAAGGTAAAAATAGCCAATGATGGCACATCAAAATGATAATGTAGTTTAAAAGCAGTGAGTTTCTTTAAAAATCATGCAGCAGAAAACCACATTGTTAAAGTATGCACCTTGTGTTTTGAAAGCACAGAAAGAAACATCTTCATTTGATATAACTGATATGGTAACAAGGAGAACTGGTATGATAGCCAGGAGAAAGTCATTTGATCCTTTTGTCAGATGACATTCCAGAATCCTGGGGTTGTATCTAGTAGAAATCTATCAGGTGTCAACATAAAATGGTACTTTCAGCAGGCCTTCACTGATCTTAAATGGCATGGTGAAAGAATCCATGCAGAAGGAAGTTTTCTAAGAAATAACCAGAAGTAGAGAAAACAAGAAGGAAGGTGAGATAATTTCCCCCCTTCTTCACCAACTTCCCATTGGTTAGATTTTTCCAAATATATTATTTGATTTTTAACATTTTCATTCTTGTTCATTTTCTTCCAAGAACCTGAGTTCTGCCATCTTTTTTTTAAAAAGCTATACTTCTGTATCTGTTTAATATTAAT